GGTAACTTGTTGCGTTGTCTCGTCGGTGAAAACTTGCGGTGTTGGGATCAGAAGTTGAGACAAGCGGAGTTTGCCCATAATTCGGCTCTCAGTCGAGCAACCAGTTTTTCACCTTTTGAGGTTTTATATGCGGTTCGACCGCGTGGGGTGGTGGACCTGATCGCGCTGCCGTCGGGGGAGAGCGCCGACTGCCGGGCCGAGGACCTCGTGGCCGACCTCCGGCGCACTCATGACGCGGCTCGGTCGCGTTTGTTGGAGGTTACGGCGGCTTATAAAAAGCGGGCGGATTCCCGTCGCCGTCATGTGGAGTTCGATGTCGGGGATTTTGTGTGGGCAGTCCTCACCAAGGACTGTTTCTCGGCGCATGACTACAACAAGTTGTCGGCTCGTAAGATTGGCCCGGTTGAGATCATTGAGAAGATCAACCCGAATGCCTACCGCCTTCGGCTCCCGTCTCATTTGAGGACCTCTGATGTGTTCAATGTTAAGCATCTCGTGCCATTTGTGTGTGCCAACTCAGACGAAGACGAGATCGATCCGGATTCGAGGGCGAATCCTTTCCAACCGAGGGAGGATGATGGAGACGAGATCGCGATGGCGTTTCTACAGAAATACGACCGGATGCCTTCTTTAGTCTAGATAATTATTTCCTAGCTTTTATTATTATTCCATTTTTTTATTTAATATTTATTTAAGTTTTATTCCCTTGTTTAGCATGTTTAGGAAACCTAGGATTTTGGGGTTATTTATTCCCTTCTTCTCTCTTATGAAGACAGTTATCGTTGAATAAAATTAAGAACTTTGAGATTTCATCTCTTATTTCCCTATTGTTTATCGTTGCGCTACATCAGATACATTCCAGAGGAAAATTTTAATTTTTGGAGGGAGCCGAAAATTCCACAGCGATTTTCACCAAAGATCGCTGGACTGTACACTTGGACCCAAGCAAGCCGCATTAATATTTTTCAAGAGTTTGTAGCCACTCCGCACTGAATAGATTCCATTGCTCGAAAAATGCCAAATTAATCGGTTTGTCCTCATTTGATCCCCGAGAGGATTAGAAAGAATTTTTTCAGCGTCTATAGGAAGGAACACTTGATTAATTAGGTCAGAATTCCACGATCCCCCAATGCCAATAAGATCCTGGACACGGTCGATTCCCAACACCATACTCGAGAAAGGTCGAAAATGATAATTGTGAGGAATCCATGGGTCGGAATAAATTTTGGCCAGAGAGCCATTTCCAATCCTCCACCGTAAACCTGCTTGAACGACTTCGCGCCCCCAAATAAGACTATTCCAGATATAAGAAGAACCCGATCGAACAGTAGACCCGAGAAAATCACCATCTGGATAGTATTTGGCCTTGAGCACACGCGCAACTAAAGAATCAGGAGACATTAGAATTTTCCAAGCTTGTTTGCCCAACAAGGATTGATTAAAGAGCTGCAAGTCCCTGAATCCCATTCCCCTAATAAACGTGGAGTCTGACAGTTTTGACCAAGAGATCCAGGCCATTTTACGTTCACGGTCCCGAGCTCCCCACCAGAATTGACAAATAATCCGTTTAATCTGATCGCAAACTCCTATTGGAACCCGAAACAAGCTCATTATATAAGTGGGAATCGCTTGAATCACTGACTTAATTAAAGTTTCACGGCCGCCGACAGAGAACAGATTCCTATTCCAGCCTTGCAATCTTTTCCAAACTTTATCTCTAATAGTCGTAAAGGTCCGTAACTTATCTCGCCCCACCATTGAAGGAAGGCCTAGGTAGGTGTTATGCGAGGAAGGATTTAGAATGCCGAAGAGTGACCACATGTCGTTTCGTGTTGAAACGAGAGTATTTGGAGAAAAAGTAACAGCAGTTTTTTCCAAATTAATTTTTTTGTCCAGAGGCAAGCTCGTACCTTCGAAGAATATTTTTGATGGCCGACGCCTCAGGAGCCAGGGCTTTCGAAAAAATAATCGAATCGTCAGCAAAAAGAAGATGGGATATCCGAGGCCCGAGCCGACTGCAACGCATCCCCATTAACTCCCCGGTTGTTTCAGCACGCTTAAGAGTTGCTGAAAAGCCCTCAGCACACAAAATAAATAAGGAGATAAAGAACATCCTTGTCTTAACCCCCTGGAAGGAAGCACCTTGCCCGTGATGACCCCATTTATCGAGAAAGAGAAACTAACTAAAGAAATAAAATTTAAAATGAGGGCCCTGAAGCGAGGTGGAAAGCCCTTTCTGAAGAGCACGACATCGACAAAATTCCATTCGACCCGATCATATGCTTTACTCATATCGAGTTTAAGCGCCATCCAGTTTGTCTTCCTAGAATATATTTTAGACATCGAGTGGAAAAGTTCGAAAGCTAATATAGCGTTATCTACAATATGACGCCTAGGAACAAAAGCGCTTTGATTTTCGGCAATCAAGGGTCCAAAGACCTTTTTCAGTCTGTTCGCGATAGACTTTGAAATTATTTTGTACATAACGGAACACAGGCTAATTGGGCGGAAATCAGTTATATACACCGGATTCTTCTTTTTTAAGGATCAAAACAACAATTGTTTCATTTATTTCTTTTGCCGACTCTCCTCCATTAAGAACTTTAAGGCAAGCTTCGAGAATATCATTTCGCATAAGACTCCAATTGTGTTGGAAAAAAGCTGCATGGAAGCCATCAATGCCCGGGGCTTTATATGGACCAATACTCATCAAGGCGGTTTCAACCTCCTCTGGTGAAAAAGGCGCATCAAGCATTGAAACGCCATCTGAAGAAATACCACCCTCTACCGATCGCGTGATAAACTCGACGTGCTGATAAACTCGATCTGAAGAAGCTTTCCACATGCTGCTGAATTTTAGCTTGATCTGAGATCAAATGCCCCTGCTCGTCCTTTATCTTCTCAATACGATTAGTCTGATACCTTGCTTTTGCTCTTGAATGAAAGAATCTTGTATTGCAGCCTCCATCCTTGAGCCAATCAACACGAGCTCGTTGTTTCCAGAAACTTTCTTCGCGGGCCTTCAATTGGTTAATCTCTTGTTCAAGGAGTTTAATTTGATCCATGAGGGAAGCAGAATTTTGCGAATCGAAAAGTTTCAAGTTGTGACTCTTTCCTCCTTAGCTCGTTTCTCCAATTACCAAAATATTTTTGATTCCACTTCATTAACTCATTTTTACATGCTATCAATTATCGACTCATCAGATTGCTATCAATTTAGTGTCTCATTTAATGCTACATATTTGATGCTTGAAATGATTCTTCGTACTTATTTTATGTTTATTTTTTATTATTTTTTAACATAA